GAAGTGGGGTCTGGACACCAGGCGCCTCCTCCTCCAGTGAGTCTGCGGACCCCACCAAGCTGGTGGCGTATGGCAGTGACTCAGCCCCCAGCCTCTGGACCCTAGTCCAGAAGGCCCCACACCCTGCCTGTCTCCTGCTCAGTCAGCCCCACCTGGTGCCTCTGGCTGAGGAGTCCAGCCTGCCAGGCCAGGCAGCCCAGGCAGGGTGGGGATCTGGAGAGGGGTTACAGTGAGGAAGGGGCAGCGGGAGCTTCTCAGTGTGAGGCCTCTGAGCCCACAACACCTGTGGGGACCAGATCCAGCCATCAGTAGACTGCAGGGTTATGACCAGGTACCTCTCACTCATGAGCCGCTTGCCAGCGCTGAGAGGTCCCTGCACTTCCTTTCCCTCTCTGCTCTCTCCCCCGACCCAAAAGCCCCCCACCACAGGTGCGCACACACAACCAGGCCCGTGGCACCCACCTCCCTGCCACACACCCACCTTTGCACACGGTCCTGTGCTCGCAGCAGGCCTCCTCAGCCCAGCACCTTGGCAAAGTACCCGATATGCCCACCTCCTGCCCTGCGGAGTCCTGGAAGCTAGACCTTCCACTGGCTCCTGGGGGGAGCTCAGGGTTAGCCCCTGGCCCCAAGCACCATATAAGAGACCAGGACAGATGGAACGTCCATTCAGACTCCTTAGAGAAAGCTTTCCTGCCAGAACATCTATAGTCTAGTGGTTAGCAGGCTGGGTGCTGGATTCGGATCGGGTTCAAAATGGCTGGGGACCTGCAGCAGGAACTCAACCTTCCTGGGTCTGTTCACTCTCCTCTAAGATGACCACAATAAGAGCACCTCCCTGTCGGGGCTATTGGGAGGAGCTAGTTTTATCCGCATTTTACAAATGGGGAAATAGAGGCAGAGAAGGGAAAGAACTTGGTCCAGATTGTACAGCTCCTAAGTGTTGCGGTTGGAGTAGGGGCTTCACGTCCACAGTCCCCGGCTCTCTGCCGCTCCACACACTTCTGGGTAGGCAGCAGGCCCAGTTATATCAGGCTGGGCCCAAGGTGTCAGCTTCAGACCTGGGATAACTGAACCTCCCTACACAGACCCAGACGCACAGACACACACACTCACCCCGCAGGGCACCAGGGAAGCTCGGCCCAGGAAGAGGCAGGCGGGAGACCAGGAGGGTCTGTGCAGGAGGTAAGGCTGGGTGCCAGAGGGAATGCCAGTGCTTACTGCTACTGCCAGGCTGCCTGGTGCTGGCATGGGCCTGTGGTAAATACCTGCCAGCCTGGGGCTTTGGGCCAGCTTGATGGCTGCTCAGGACCAGGGCTGGGCCCAGTTGGACCTCGCAACCCCTGCAATGCCACCACCATCACCCCCAGCACAGCCCCGGTCCCACCCAGGCAGGGCCAGACTGAGAGAGCACTGAACCACTTGCGGGCCAGCAGAGCCCCAACAGAGCCCTGGCCTGAGCTATCTTTTGCTCCCAGGCATCCCGGCCTGAGAGGGACACCATGGCCCAGCCTCTGAACAGAAGAGCAACTTTGAGGGGCTGGGGCTGGGGGCTAAAGGAAAGGAGACTGCTGGGGTGTTGGGAGTGCAGACCGAGGCCCAGGAAGAGTGTTACCTAAAATGGCACAGCTTGTTTCAAGAGACTCCCAGCCAGCTGCTTGACACCAGCAGCACCTGCGAGGGTGGGAATTCGGGAGGACAGCTGCAGGGGCAGCCAGGCGCCTGCCAGGCAGTCACCTTCTGCACCCACAGCTGTGCTGAAGCCCCCTCAGGCCACCCCTCTGCCCTCTGTCTGGGCATCTCTTCAGCCCAGATCCAAGCATCTGCAGCTTCCAGGACACCTTCCCAGGCTAGGCACTGCATCCCGTGCAAAGCTGACCTCTGTTAACTCCTCCCACCCACCGGCCAGTTTATTAAAACCTTATGCAACTGTGAAACATGACGTACATAGGACATAAAGTAGGATATGACAAATACCTATAAAGCAGACACCTATGCGGCCTGCACAGAGGTGCAGAAATGGAACAGGTCGGTTGCTCGGAAGTGCCCCTCACAGCCCCCTCGTTCTCATGTGGTAGCCAGGTTTGCATTCGTGGTTGTCAGTTCCTCGTCTTTCTTAAGTCTCGCTGTGGCTGGGTCAGGACCAACGTCTCTTGCTGGGAGTCCAGCGGGGCGCCCCGTGCTGTTGTGGCGACGGGACACACGGGGGCGCGCGCGCCTCTCACCCGGACTTGCGGGCGCAACCCTGGGAATCCAGTGCCTGGGCTGGGGGGCTTCCTCCTGAACAGACCCCCGGCCGATTGCTTTGATCCCGAAACCTGTGGGCCCGTGCCTCTGTCCCTGTAACCCCGGGGTGGGTGGGGTCTTGGACCCTTTCCTCCAAGGGCCTCCTTTTGGCCCCGGCAGCTGCTTTGAAAACTGCAAAAAACTCTACAGAAGTGAGGATGTTACTGTGTTACTAAACAATGAGTAAACTCCTACTGTGTGCTGGGCCCTGTGCTAAGCACTTCACTGCATTTTCTCATTTAGTGCCCATACCCCCCAAGGAGGGAGGCTCTCTTATTACTATCCCCATCTGACGCACTGGAAACAGTGCAGCAGAATAGGACTGCAGTCCTGATTTCCCTGACACCACGGCCCAGGAGAACTTACCTGCTACTTGTGTTCATTATTTATTGTGTTTATATTATAGCTCTCCCGCACGCAGTGAAATGTCCATGAGAAGCATTTTTTTTTTTCCTTTTTTGTCTTTTTTCGTGACTGGCAACGGATCGCAACCCTCAGTGTCGCACCCGTACCGGACCGGGACCGGCAACGGGATCGCAACCCTCGGCGTTGCGCCCGCACCTCGCTCAGCCAGTGAGCGGGAACCGGTCTGTATGTGGGATCCGAACCCTCGGCGGGAGCACCGCCACGCTCCCAAGCAGTGCACTGTAGCAGTGCGCCACCGGGGCGGCCCCCATGAGAAGCATTTTGAATTTATATATATATATTGGGGGATCAGGTTAACCCTTGACTTGGTGTTGTAAGCACCACGCTCTCCCAAGTGAGCTAACCAGCCATCCCTATATAGGGATCCGAACTCGTGGCCCTGGTGTCATCAGCACCACACTCTCCCAAGTGAGCCACGGGCCGGCCCCTATGTCTTTGAATTTAAAATGTGTTTTGTTTCGTTTTGTTTTGTTTTTAAATCACTGTGAATCAGACTTTCAAGAATGGACAGTTGGGAAGGGGCCTGTTCTGGAGATGAGGCTGGGCAGCTGAAGAGGGGTCTGCTCTGCCTGTTCCCCAGGCCTCCTGGGGACCAGCCTGAGTCACTGTAGCCATGGCTGCCAGAGATGCCAATGCGAAGGAAGGGTGCATGGAGGTGGGCTGCAGCCCCCAGAGAAGCTCTGGGACTTGCTCCTAACCCAGGATGCCAGGCCCTCCCCCAGGGCTGATCCATGCACAGGAGGGCTCTGGAGTGTTCGCTGAGGGTGCAGGCACCGAAGGGGCTGGGAGCCCTGCAGCCCATGACCTCTCAGAAACTTGGAGAGGGTCGGTTGGGGGACTGGTTCTGGTGACAGGGTTAGGAGGAGACAGGTGGTCAACAAGTAAACTAACAAATAGTTGATAGACTTTTCAGATAAAGTGCAGTAGTGCACATAAGGCGGGAGGGGGGATGCAGATGAGATGGGCACGTTTTAGAGAGCGTTGCCCGGAAGCGTGGCTCCCCACCCCCACCGCCACCCCGTTAAACGAATGAAGGTCCCCTCCGTGAAGGAAGAAGCAATCCCCAGCCTGGCTTGCTCTGCGCGGGCCCCCTGCTAAGCACTCTAAGGGGATCATCCCAGCGTCATCGGCTCCGTTTTTACAGATGAGACTAATCCTGAGCTCAGAAGAGCCCAGCTCCTTCCCAAGGTCGTCCAGCCGCGAAGGAGCCGAGGCGGATGTGGCTGAGTGTTGGTCTCAGACCCGGAGAATGGGAGGTGCCGCCTCGTTAGTGGCCGAGGCCTGCTAGCCGGCAGCTGCGGACAGGCAGGCCGCCCGGGAGGCTGCCGCCTGACTGTCGGGAGCGCTTCCTGGAAAAGGCGGCAGTTTTTGTCTCCCGAAGCCGCCACTCGTGGGACGGGGGTGCTGTCTGTCTGGCTCCCCCCGGGACCCTGGCGCCTGGCTCGTCGGCGTGGGGAGGGGCCCAGCGAGCCCGGCGCTTGACCCCGCTGGGGCTCCGGAGGCCTCAGGGACCTCCTGAGCTGCCCCGACTGGCCGCGCCTCTGGGGCGCACGTCAGTGGCCGCCCCTTTTATACACTCGAAAACTAAGCCAGCCCAGCGAGGGCAGCGGTTGCCGGGACCGAGGCAGTGGGCGTCGGGGGAACCGGGCGGGAGGGCCCAAGGACTGGATGAGACTTCGCGCCGCGCCTCAGGACGAAGGCCGTCGCGAGCAGCCAGCCAAGCTCGCGGCCAGCGCCGAGGACGCTGTGCGCCTGCGCACGGGCAGCTCAAGGCCCGAGGCGCGAGCACGCGGGGCAACAGAGACGCGCACGCAGGGACGCGGGGGGCGGAGCCCGGCAGGCAGAGCGCCTCTGATGGGCTGATGTGGAAAGGGGGCGGATAAGAGGTGTTCCTGGGCGGGGCCTCGCGGCCGGTTTGGAATTTTTGGCGCGAGCTGGGTCTGCGCGCGTTCAAGGGCCGTTCCCAGTCCGGAGGATCGTCCGTCAGGGCGCCTGACCGTCCCGAAGGCTCCCGTGGCCTCCGCCGACCCGGAATCTGGGACCTCGCTGAGCCGCGCCTCGCAAACCAGCTTCAGGTGAGCCCCGACACGGCACTGAGCTTTCTGGGGCGGAGCAACGCTTCGCCCCTCCCCCTTCCCCTCTCGCCCGGGCGGCCGCTCGCCCCTGACCGCCCTCCCCGGTCGGCCCCACCCGCTGCTCCTCAAGCCCCTCCCTCGGGCTGGCCCTCCCGCGCCGCCTCCCGGGGCTCTCCCCGCCGCCTGCTCCCTGTGCTGAGGGAGCCCCTTCCCCCGCGGCCCGGTTCTCGCTCCTCCTGGGAAGCGCCGCGCCCGCCTTCCCTCAACTTTCGCTGGCTAGCCCCGTCCCGCGGCCGCCTGTCCCCTCGCCGGGCGACCCCCGGGCCCTCGCTGGGGGCTTAGCTGCGGGAGGCCGTGCGCAGCCGATGAGCCCGGCCCAGTGAGCGAGTGAAGCCCCGGAAACCGCCGAGGCCCGCCCGGCCTCACCCGGAGCCCCCGCTCCTTCTGCCAACCCCTTCCCACCTCTAAGGCTGTTTGGCCAGGCCAGTCGTGCAAGAACGTAAGTGACATTCGGACGGTCTGGGAACCGGTTTAAGATGCAGGCCCGGGTCCCCGAGTGCGTCGTCCCTCGGTGTCCGTGGAGGATTGGTTCCAGGACCCCTGCGGATGCTCAAGTCCCTGATGTACAAAGGTGTGACATGTGCATAGAACCTACCACATCCTCCTGTATACTTTTTTTTTTTTTTAGTGGCTGGCCGGTAAGGGGATCTGAACCCTTGACCTGGTGGTGTAAGCACCACGCTCTTGCATACTTTAAATCATCTCTAGATTACTTATCACACCTAGTACAATGTAAATGCTGTGTAAATAGTTATACTGTATTGTTTAGGGAATAATAACAAGCGGGAAAAGTTTGTACTTGTTCAGTACAGATGCAGTTTTTATCCCGAGTATTTTCCATCCACGGTGGGTTCAATCTATGGTCGCGGAACCCACAGATACCGAGGGCCCGACTGTACTAACCAGCGCCCTCGGGGATCCTGACACTGTCGTTCCTCACTTTGAGAAATGCTGAGGTGGGATTATTGAGGTAAATAGAGGCAGATAAAGGGTACCCACAGGACGCAGGGTGCGTTTTCCAGCCAGGCCCTGGTAGGGTCGCTCCGCTCAGCCCTTTACTCCCCCAGGACCCGAGGCCACTCTTTAAATGACTGCTCCCCGGCCGGGCCAGTGGTGCACTGGAGAGTGCGCCGCTTGGGAGCACAGCGGCGCTCCCGCCGAGGGTTCGGATCCCATATGGAGACTGGTTCCCGCTCACTGGCTGAGTGCGGTGCGGGCGCAACACCGAGGGTTGTGATCCCGTTGCCGGTCCCCGGTACGGGCGCGACACCGAGGGGGGTTGCGATCCTGTTACCGGTCAGTAAAAAAGACAAAAAGGAAAAAATAAATAAATAAATTAATTAATTAATAAATAAATGACTGCTCCCTCCTGTTTCAGTGAGGTAGGGCATCTTTTGATACATTGTGGCTTCTGTCAAAATTGACTCTTCCTCCCTTTTTTTCTTGTTTTTGTTTCAATTACAACATTATAGCAACACACCAGCCCTGTCTGCCTCACCCACAAAGTCCCTTATACCATGGGGCCACGGTACCTTGTGTGTTCTTTCAGTTACTACCCAGAGCACTGTTTATGATAATAGCAATTAGCATTTATGCTAGACACTGGCTAAGCCCTCCATGAGGTCAGTATTACAGGTGCACAACCCCCTGGCGCAAGATGTGTTTTGGAATTCAGGATGTCTCAGATTTTAGAAAGCTAATGGTGTGCATATAACGTATGTAACACCACTTGTGGGTCTGAGACATCATTCCGTAATCAAACTCACTAATATTTCTGTCAAGAAATATATGAATATTAGAGGCTAGCCAGTTAGCTCAGTTGGTTAGAGTGTGGTGTTATTTATTTTTTTTCTTTTCTTTTTTCTTTTTGTGTGTGTGTGTGGTTTTATAACACCAAGATCAAGTATTCAGATCCCCGTACCAGCCAGCTGCCAAAAAATAAAAATAAAAAGGAAAAGTAAAGAAATATATGAATATTTACACTAAAAAGGAAAAATAGGAAAAGAAGATAGGTCAGATTTTTCTGCTAAATTTGTTTTACATACAGATAACCAGTTGTCCCAGCACCAGTGGTTTGAAAAGACAGTTCTTTCCCACTGAATTGTTTTGGCACCCTTGTTGAAAATCAAGTGACCATAACTGTGAGGGTTTATTTCTGAACTCTCAATTCTATTCCCTTTATCTATATAACTATACCTATGTGAGTACCACACTGTTTTGATTACTGTAGCATTGTAGTAAGTTTTGAAAATGGGAGGTGTGTGTCCTTCAACTTTATTCTTTTTTGAGATGATCTATTCTGGGTTCCTTGAATTTCCATATGAATTTTATGATAGCTTGTCAACTTCTGTAATGAAGCCAGATAGGATTCTGATAGGAATCACACTGAATCTGTAGATCAATTTGGAGGGCATTGCCATTTTATCTATATTAAGTGTTTGGATCAATGAACACATCATGTCTTTCCATTTATTTAGGTTTTCAGTTTCTTAAAGAAGCTGAAAGAATAAAGGAAAGTAAGTATGTATGTATGTATAATGTTTATTATATTGATGTTGTTATTTACCATTTCTGGTTCTTGTCATCTGTTCCTATGTGTTTGGGTTACCATCTGGTGTCATTTTTTTTTTTTTTTTTTTTTTTTAAAGATGACCGGTAAGGGGATCTTAACCCTTGACTTGGTGTTGTCAGCACCACGCTCACCCAGTGAGCAACCGGCCATCCCTATATGGGATCTGAACCCGTGGCCTTGGTGTTATCAGCACCGCACTCTCCCGAGTGAGCCACAGGCCGGCCCTGGTGTCATTTTTTAGTTTAATACAGTTTTGCTCCCACCCACCTCCTTTGTGCTGTTATTTGCAAATTTATTACATTTTTATACGTTATATGCCTAATACAGTTATATACATATTGTTTTATACAACTGCTTTTTAAATCAGTTAAGGGAAGAAAGGAGAAGTATGAATGTGTACTGTCTTTATCATTACATAATTGCCTTTACCATTTCTTCATCTGGATTCAAATTACTGTCTGGGGTCATATGCTTTCAGCCTGAAGAACTTCCTTTAGTATTTCTTGTAAGGCTGCTAGCAGTGAATTCTTTCTGTTTTTGTTTATGTGGGAATGTCTTTATTATTTTGCCTTTATTTTGGAAAGATATTTTGCTGGACATAAAATTCTTGGTTGACATTTTTTTCTCCCAGCACTTTTTTTTTTTTAAAGATGACCGGTAAGGGGATCTTAACCCTTGACTTGGTGTTGTCAGCACCATGCTCTCCCAAGTGAGCCATGGACCGGGCCGGCCTCCCAGCACTTTGAATCCATGATCTTACTGCCTTCTGGCCTCCATTGTTTCTGATGAGTCAACAGTTAATTTTAGTGTGGGGATGAGTCATTTTTCTCCGGCTGATTTCAAGATTTTATGCTTGTTTTTGTTGTTCAGCACTTTTTACGTATTTTTTTGTTCAGCACTTTTAATACAATGTGTATTTATCTCTGCATTCATCTTACTTGGAGTTTGTTGAGTTTTTTGGATGTGTGGGCTAATGTTTTTTTAAAAAAGTAATCAAATTTGGGAAGTTTTCAGCCATTATTTCTTCAGATAATTTTTCTGCTCCTTCTCTTCTTTGAGTACCAATTATGCATATGTTGGTGCACTTAATGGTGTGTGTCCTACATTTCTCTAAGGCTCTCGTTCCTATTCATTCCTTTTCTCTCTCTCTCTCTCTTTTTTTTTTTTTTTTTTTTTTTTGCAGCTGGCCAGTACAGGGATTGAACCCTGGACCTTGGTCTTATCAGCACCATGCTCTAACCAACTGAGCTAACCAGCCAGCCCTCTCTGTTCTTCAGATTGCATAATCTCTGTTGATCTGTCCTCAAGTTCACTAATTGTTTCTTCTGCCAGGTGAAGTCAACTGCTGAACACCTCTAATGAATTTTATCATTTCAGTTATTGTACTTTTCAACTCTACAATTTCCATTTGGTTTTTATAATTGCTCTCTGTATTCATAATCTCTATTATGTTGTCATTGTATCTTCCCTTACTTCTTTAAGCATGGTTTCCTTTAGTTCTTTGAACATACTTATAACAACTGTTTCAAAGTTTTCATCTGTTAAATCTGACATCTGGGCTTTCTCACAGGCAGTTTCTGTTGCCTGTTTTGTTTTTGTTTGTTTTTTCCTGTGAATGAGTCACACTTTCCTGTGTCTTCACATATCTGGTAATTTTTTTGGTGAAAACTGGACATTTTGGATAATATGCTGTAGCAACTGTGGACACTGGTTCTCCACCCACGTCTGGGGGTTGTGATTGTTTGCTTATTTCTTTGTTTAGTGGCTGGCTGGACTATTGTAGTGAAGCCTCTGGCCTTCTTGGCTTGCCTCTAGTCTGGAGCTTCCCTCCTATGAATGAGCTGGGACTTGGGCAATTGAGGTTCTGTGTTCCCAGCCTGCTGGGCCTGCAGTAGAGCCTCTGCTCTGCGAATGGGGGCAGGTTCAAGAATGGAGCCCCTCGCCCTTCTGCTATACTCAGCTGGAATTTAGCCTCTGCCACAGGGGCTGGGCAGGCTGGGAAATGCTGAGAGCTTGCCCCTCCTGGGCAGAACCCTAATCCTGACTGGGAGCTAGGGGGAGTGCAAGCCCCATCCTCTTGGCCACATCTGCCTCCAGTGCTTGGCAGGGGTTAAGAGCAAGGTGGGTGGGAGGGTGGGAGGGGCATCTTGGCTCAGGTGCCACAGGTTCTCTATGTTATTACCAGGATTTGGTAGATGTTCTTGTATAAATGTTTATTCTTTTGCTATATGCCCTTAGTGCTACGTCCAGGGACTTCAAATTCTTGCTTTTGAGTACTTTTCACCAGCTCTGTCTGTTTCGCTGGGGAGACGATTCATGGGGCTCCTTACATTGCCATGCTGGAAGTGGAACTCCGCTAAATGAGTTTTGGCACCACAACTATGAAAAAGAAAGAAGTTTTTGGAATTCAGAGCTTTTTACTTTGGAATTGAAGATAAGGGCTAGTGGGCATGGGTTAATATTTCCATCTTATGGTCTAGGAAGAGGTTGCATAGTTTAGGGTCCAACAGCTGGTTGTGACGCAGTGGGGGCATACACACAAGTGGTCTGACTCTAGAAGCCACCTTGGTTTTAACCTCTCTACTGGACTGTAAGACCCTCAAGGACACAGGTGCCATGGTTTTCATTTTATATTCCTATCATCTCCAAAATACAAACAGCACAGTATGCATGTATGTGAATATCTGTCATCTGCTTTCTCCTGGTAGGTGCTTGTTGCCCCCACAGCCTTCATGTTTAAAGCAGAACATGTGTGTGGTGTAGATGCAGCTCTCTTCTGCAGTCTCTGAGGCCATAAGACCAGGCGCCGTTTGAGTGGACACATTGCTCTGTACTCAGCCTCCATCTTCGTCCCCAGGGCCTTCTGCGCTGGCCATGCCTGTACCCATGGAGGGCACCCCGCCTCCCCTGAGTGGCACCCCTGTCCCAGTCCCAACCTACTTCCGCCATGCAGAACCTGGTTTCTCCCTCAAAAAGCCAGGGGGGCTCAGCCGGAGCCTCCCACCCCGGCCCCCTGCCAAGGGCAGCATCCCTGTTAGCCGCCTCTTCCCTCTTCGGACCCCAGGCTGGCACCAGCACCAGCCCCGGAGGGTGTCATTCCGGGGCAAGGCCTCAGAGATCCTGCAGAGCCCCGGGTATGACCCGAGCCGGCCAGAGTCCTTCTTCCAGCAGAGTTTCCAGAGGCTCAGCCGCCTGGGCCATGGCTCCTATGGAGAGGTCTTCAAGGTAGGTGAGGGAAAGGCATCCCAGGCCCATCTGGGGGACCCCGTTTGCCTCCCTCCCCCTCCCCGGATGGAACAGCATCCCCCAACAGCAACCTCTCCTAGGCTCACGGGCTTCCCCGTCCCTGTTTGGATTGGCTGCTTTTTCATAACCGCCCCCCCAACAGACCCTCTGAGGGCCACCTCAGCACACACTGGGCCCTTATTCATAGCCTGTCTTGCCCCCTGGCAGCTCCCAGCTGCCATCTCCTCCTGTCCTGCAGCCAGCCATGCTGGGGTCTCTGGCAAGTTCTGCCAGCCCCCAGAGCAGGCACTAAGTGCAGTGCACACCTCCACCCCCTGGGCTGGTGGCCCCCAAGGCTACCCCCTGCCTGCCACCTTCCTTTTTCTTAAAATATATTTTCCAATCATTTATATTTCCTTTAGAATGGTAATTTTCCTTTGCACAAGCCTTGCCTGAAGATAATTTTGTTAAAAAGTACAAACAGCACAGGCCCCTGGATTGGCTCTCCTTGCCAGAGGGAACCATTTTCACACCGCAGAGCACCCTGCCTGTCTTGTTCTATAGCCAGCTTTTTTCCCTTAAGAGTCCATCCTAGAGATTCTCCAGCTCAGTGCTGGTAGGTCTGCCCCGTCTCTTCCATCGTGGGGTTTCCAGAAACCAGCCCTGTGGATAGAAATCTGGCCAGTTTTGCTACTGCAGTGTGCAGGGGTCTCTAAGATGAAGGTCAACTGTGCTGCACCCTCCACACAAGTAAAATCTTCATAGAATCTGTTGAGTTGCGGGCCGGCCTGTGGCTCACTCAGTAGAGTGCGGTGCTGATAACACCAAGGCCATGGGTTCGGATCCCATATAGGGATGGCCGGAAAATTCTTAAAATATTAAAAAAAAAAAAAAAAAGAATCTGTTGAGTTGTCCCCCCAAGTGGTTGTGCCACCTGTGGCCCACTCCCTTCCCTGCCTGTGGGCACCACCTCTCTTCCAGGTGCGCTCCAAGGAAGATGGCCAGCTCTATGCGGTAAAGCGCTCCATGTCGCCATTCCGGGGCCCCAAGGACCGGACCCGCAAGCTGGCCGAGGTGGGCAGCTATGAGAAGGTGGGGCAGCACCCACACTGCGTGCGGCTGAAGCAGGCCTGGGAAGAGGGCGGCATCCTGTACCTGCAGACGGAGCTGTGCGGGCCCAGCCTGCAGCAGCACTGTGAAGCTTGGGGTACCAGCCTGCCCGAGGCCCAGGTCTGGGGCTACCTGCGGGACACCCTACTTGCCCTGGCCCACCTGCATGGCCAAGGCCTGGTCCACCTTGATGTCAAACCTGCCAACATCTTCCTGGGGCCTCGGGGCCGCTGCAAGTTGGGTGACTTTGGGCTGCTGGTGGATCTGGGTACAATCAGAGCCGGTGAGGCGCAGGAGGGAGACCCTCGCTATGTGGCCCCTGAGCTGCTGCAGGGCTTCTACGGGACAGCAGCGGATGTGTTCAGGTGGGAACTGGGAAGTGGAGGGATCATGGTGGGCTGCGGGAAGCCCTTTCCCAGGTGGTCAGCAGAGACAGGGACTACCCAGGAGGGAAGCTCTGTCCTAGCCCAAGACGCTTGGCTTCAGGCCTGGGAGGTGCTGCCCCTGCCCTCCCTTTGAGAGGAGTTTCCAGTGTCAGGCTGCCTCTAAGTGGTAAACACTCGAGAGCCACCTTACGCAGATGAACCCACCTCACAGCTCTATGGGAGGAACTATTATAGTCCATTTACAGTGAGGTTAGGAGACTTGCCCAAAGGCCACAGTTAGCAGGTGGTGCAGCTGGGATTGGACCAGGCACTGGGTTCCACGGTCCATGCTGGTGACCACTGCCCTACCTCTAAGTCATATCAGAGCATCTCAACAGAACAATGATAAGAAATAACAGGAGGAACTGTGTGCCTGTCCAGTGGGGTGCTGGGAAGGCACCACGCTAGCCTGTGGGCTGCGCTGGGCGCGGGGTCCGTACTCCATGATATGGTCCCCATCCTGCCTGGGCCTCATCATCAGCCCTGCTCGGGCATCCTCGGAGCCCCCCAACCCCTTCTTTCCCACCTTCCTCTAATGGGCAGCCTGGGAATGGGCTGTGTCCCATGTCCAACCCATTTTCTGTCCCCAACCCCTGTCCCTCCCAGTCTGGGTCTCACAGTCCTGGAAGTGGCCTGCAACATGGAGCTGCCCCATGGTGGGGAGGGCTGGCAGCAGCTGCGCCAGGGCTACCTGCCCCCCGAATTCACTTCTGGTGAGTGGGGGCCGGTGTGGGAAGGGCATGCTGCCACAGGCTCTTGTGGTAGGGAATGGCTGGTGACAGGGGCACTGCTGGGCTCAGAGCCAGCCAGTGCCCTGGAACCCCTGACGTGGCCCTGCCACCTGGGCAGATCTGTCTCCTGAGCTGCGTTCTGTCCTTGTCATGATGCTGGAGCCCGACCCGAAGCTGCGAGCCACAGCCAAGGCCCTGCTGGCCCTGCCCATGCTCAGGCAGCCACGGTCCTTGAGCATCCTGTGGTGTACAGCTGCTGAAGCCTGGAGTCGAGGCTGGGCCCTGTGGCAGGTAAGCTCCTGTCAGGGACAGGCTGCCTGCTGTGCTTCCAGCCCCAGGGCTCGCCCAGCCTCCTGAGGCTCCCCTCTCCCTGCAGGCCCTGCTCGCCTTGCTGTGCTGGCTCTGGCATGGGCTGGCTCACCCTGCCAGCTGGCTGCAGCCCCCAGGCCCGCCGGCCACCCCACCTGGCTCGCCGCCCTACAGCCTCCTCCTGGACAGCAGCCTCTCCAGCAGCTGGGATAACGACAGCATAGGGTGGGTGAGCACTCAGGCCACGTGCAGGTGTGGGGTGGATACCACCTGGGCTGAACCCCATGCCAGAGGAGGCCCAGGCCCCACAGAGATCCTCTCCTACAAACCCAGCCCCCAGCCTACCCCTGGGAAGGGAACCAGAGCCAGTGGTGTGTGGCCTGGCCTAGCATGAACACAGCTCTCTTATAGTAAGCATGTGGGGTGGACACTGCACACAGCACAGTCACGCTAGGGATTGTCACACTGGGAGCAGCAGGTGGGCCACAGCACTCAGTGGGGCCACACCAGCAGGGGCTGCCAGTGTCCAGGGACAAGGCACTGTCCCTTCTCCAGGGGAAGAAAGCCTCTCAAGAACCTGGCGGAGCCCTGCCCCAGGAGGAATTCCTTAGTCCCAGGTGCCTGGTGGCCAAGTGAAAGGCTGTAATTAAGAAACTGCTGCAGAAGAAAGCCACATGCTCAGTGCGGAAAGCTCTCAGGAGGGATACCGTAAGCCCCTTCTGTACGAACATGTCACCCCTTTGCCTGGGGCACGTTCTAGCAGACATGTAACACCAGAAGAGATTCATTTACCAAAAGTTCACTTCTTTTTTTTTTTTTTTTGAGACCGGCCGCACCGCGCTCAGCCAGTGAGCGCTGCGAGCGCACTGGTCATCCCTATATAGGATCCAAACCCGCAGCGGGAGTGCTGCTGCGCTCCCAGCGCCGCACTCTCCCGAGTGCACCACGGGCTCGGCCCCCAAAAGTTCACTTCAAACCTGGCTGAGCTTCAGCCATGTGTTCTGAAAAGGAACAGAGGTGGCTTTTGAGTATGGTCAGGTGGAAGGACTTTGAAGGTTGTCAATCTGCTGCTTTCAAAGTGCATCATGTTTTTATTGCCCGGGCTGAGGCTCCCCTGCCTGTGTCAGGTAGGAACCTAGAACCTGAGCAGGGACAGAGCTGGCCTTGTCCTATGCTCCTCACCCCTCGACACCCTGCTTCTTTCACTCACCCTCCTGCAGGCCCTCGTTCTCTCCAGAGGCCGTCCTGGCCCAGGCCAATGGGAGCACCTCCACCCCCTGGAGCAGGCACACGCCGAGGTAAGCAGGCCCCAGGCTGAGGGGTGGGCAGGGTTGGCTTTCAGATCCTGAATGTCATTCCTTTTTCTTCGGTCCTGCCAGGGATGCCCTGGACCTAAGTGACATTGACTTGGAGCCTCCTCGGGGCTCCTTCCCCTCCTTTGAGCCTCGGAACCTCCTCAGCCTATTTGAGGACTCACTGGACCCAACCTGAGCCCTTGGCCCAGCCTCGGTGCTTTTAACCTTTTATCCCCTTTCCCTCTGGGAACTCTCATGGTCCCCTCTGCCTGGCCATATCTAATAAAAGGTATTTGAATCCTGGGAGCATCCAGGCTTGCTTGTGTGGCAACACAGTGCTTCCTGTCCCTTTATTGATGTCCAGGGCCTTAGGCCCCCGGGACGGGTCCTGAGGCTGAGCCCTGCTGTAGAAACAGAGCCACACGCTGTGTGCAGCAAAGAGATTTCCTGAGTGGGCACATCCCTGATGGGCAGGTAGAGCCGTGAGAGCATGGCACTGAAGGTGGAAGGTGGGCCTTTAGTCCTATGGGGCCTGGATCTGTGGAGCCTGGGTCCAGGGTACACCACTCTAGGTCTGTACCAGTTGCCAGGAAGAAGCAGCAGCCTCTTGGCCAGCTGGTACAGGAAGGGTGAGTGCCCACATGGTCCTGGGAGAAGAGGCTAGTCCTGCTGCTCCATACCCCTCACTCCACAGTATCTGGACAGAAGGGAGAAGGGTGGGCAAGCTTCTGGCTGCTGGAAGGGCTGGGGCAGAAAGACGGAGGTCAGGAAGCATGGGCCTGAGGGGCTGGCCCAGGGCCCTAGGAGGTCCCTGTGAGAGGGGCCACAGGGAGCGATGGCTCTGGGCTCGCAGGCCTGGTAAGCTGGCAGCACCCCAACTGTCAGAGCAAGACGTGACTCCAGAGAGCCACCCCTCACAGGTCCCAGAGGGTAAATGGAGGCCCAGAGAGGGAAAGGTTCCTTCCCGCTGACAGCAGAACAGTACCCTGGAGGGAGAGGGCAGGGAGCGGAAGCTGGAGCTTCAAGGCCTGCGTTGAAGAAGAGGTTAGTCCACAGGGAAGAATGGATGAGCAGATGAGGGCTCCCAGCTGGGATGTCTTGCTTGCTGGAGGCACCCCGGGAGCCGGCCCCTTGCAGGCCAGCAGGAGGAAAGTGTGATGGTGTTGGCCCCAGGAGGCCCTGGACAGGCCGGCATGGCAGGCAGGAGGCAGCTCAATCTGGGGGACAGGCGTGGTGGGCGGCCCAGAGCAGGTCAGGCACAACGCCGGCATGCAGCTGAAGGATGGAGCCCACGCTGAGCAGGTGCATGATCTGGTGGGAGTTGCCCCAATAATCGAAGCGTCCAGGTCCCCAGCGCTCTGGCAAGCGGGCCACATTCACCAACCCCCCAAGCAGTGCCAGTGCATCCATGCGCAGGTAGCAGGGCAGGGAGCCTGGAGCTCCTGAGCCCAGCCCCACTCCCCGGGCCCCAAATACCAGCAGGCGGGCACCAGCTTGCCAACCAAAGGCTCTGAGCCGGGCACTGGTGGAGGGGGCAGTGAGGGCCCGCCAGCCAGCCACACCTGACAGCATGGTGTAGCCCACCAGGGCAGCTGGGCGCAGCCAGGGCTTGCAGGCCAGTGTGCAGTGGATGATGGGCAGGGCCCCTACACAGAGGAGAAAGGAGAGGGCACATCAGTCCTAGGGTCTGCCTGCCCTTCCCTACCCATGGCTCACATGAGCGCCGCCCCCTCCCCAGTTGCCCCCAGCTCCCATTGCTTAGGACCCTGGCTCACCGAGGGTGTTGACAAGGCAGACCCCACACATATCCAGGGCGAGGAGCCGGGCGTACACAGGGCTGCCCCCTTGGTGGCACATGAAGAGGTGATAGAGCACAGAGCCCACAGGGGGTGCCAGGCAGGCCACGCAGTGTGTGCCCCCCAGCCAGCCGTCCTTGCCCAGCTGTCCCCAGGGCATGGTCATCGGCAACAGCACCAGGAAGCCCAGCAGGGCCAAGCCTGGGGGAGGGAGACAGTGATCCATCAGACAATTTCGGCACTGAGGATAAGTCAAGTCCTCAAGGAGGCCACAGTCTTAAGATAACACGCTAGGACGACAGTGGGATAGGTCTTGATGATGCTGTTATCCAGCTTGGACCAAGGCAATCCCAGGCCAAAGGCTTTTGGAAACTTTAGTTTACTTTTCACGGCTCAGAACAGTTCTGGGAAGTAGAGACCATCATCCCCACCTTGCAGATGAGGACACTGGGCTGTGGAGAGGCTGAGTCTCACCTGCCTCAGGTGTGCCCGGCAAGTAAGCAACCTACAGAGGACAGAACCCAGCAGTCTAACTCCCTCGCTGCTCTCACCCTCCTGTGTCGTGGCCTACGCCGCAACCAGGAGGTCCCACCCAAGCCTGGATGTCAGCAGAAGCCTGAGGAGGCACGACCTCCTCGAATAGTTCTGAGTAGGACACGTGGATACCCGCCTGGGGCAACTCAGCTTACTCCTCGCAGCCCCTGTCCTCTCCTCTCCAGAAATGTCCAGGCAGATGGAGCCGTGGGCCTTTTTGTCTTCCAGAAAGTGGTGAGGCCAGGCAGGGGAGGGTGAGTCCAGAATGAGGGGAATGGGGCTGAAAGGAGCTTGTCCCATCACCTCCCTAGGCTCCTTCCCCAGGAGTTCCAGTCCTCCCAGCCCAGTCCCTTCCAAAAGGTTCCCACCCACCCCTGCCTTCATTCTGGCATAGCCCTCAGGGGTCAAACGGGGCGTTTCGGGCTGCCCACTCTCGGTGGGGTCTAGCCGGACAATAGCGCCCGGGGAAGGCGCCAAGGCTGGGCCCGGCCGACGCAGGGCCCCTCTCCTGGCTGGGACAACTCAAGGACGGGCAAGGCTGTGTCAGCAGAGCTCGGCTGGGCGCCTGCGGGGGGAGGAAGGAGCCGCCACCAGGCGGAGCCCCAAAGCAGGGTTGCTGGGGCGGGAACGACAGGGTGGCGGCGGGGGCCGGGGCCGGGACCAGCTTCTCCAGGGCCCCTTCTCGCCGTAGTCAGCACCCATCTCCGGGACGGGTGCTGGCGGGGAACCCGGGTGCCCAGAGCGCTGGGATTACGAAGGGGCCGGACAGCTGGCTCACTCCCAGGGCTAAGAAGGATTAAGCGGGCTCTGCTCCCCACTCTGCCTCCCTCTCCTGCCCCGGGGCCCCCGCCGGGGAAGCGGAAGCTGGCAGCGCTGCCCGAGACAATGGCAGCTTTGTCACCGCGGCTCCTGGCCGTGCCAGGGCCGGGGCAACCCCGGACCCGGGCGCTGCGACGCTCCTCGGCCTTCTCGGCCCGGCCCGGCTCGGAAGGGCGGCCGCGGATGCGGGATACGCGTTGCGGGCGCGGCTCACCGTGCGTGTAGATGTTGCCCAGCTCGTTGTGCAGGTAGAAGAGGCTGCGCAGGCAGCCCGAGCCGCTGCTGGCAGGCCGGTAGCCGGTCAGCACGAACTTATTGAACTGCAGGTGCGGCGGCGAGCTGGCCCAGTCCAGCAGGCGCGGCCCGGCCAGGAACGCCATGGCCCGGCTCGGCGCGCTCCTCCCGCACCGCCCTTCTCCTCAGAGAGGCCACAGCGTGCGGAGGCTCATCCCAGCCGACCGCCGCGCGCCCCTTGCCGCCCCACGCTCTGTCAGCGCACGCGCCAGCCCGGGGGTCGAGCCCGCGCCCCTCCCGCGCTGCGCACA